TTGAATAACACTTTTTTTAGTACAATTTATTATAAATACGCGTTGTTAAAAATTGTTTCTAGTTTTCATAATAAAATATTTATTAATACTAACTTGTGTAGCTTAATCTAAATACGCATAAAATCGAGCACTTAATAGAATTTATTTAAATGCAGATTGTATAATAAGCAGTGTAATAAATTTTGTTTAAAAAATAGACAATAACCAGTATCTTAGTTAGAAAAAATTTTGTAATTAAATTAATATTATATATCGAGTTTTAAATAAACAAAATAAAAACAAATTTAAATAAAAATATAAAATATGTAAATAATTAATAAATTTAATCATGAAAACGCAATGAAAACGAATTATATATTATTATGTGAAACATAACTACACAAGTGCCAAGTATGTGAGGTTAATGCGAAAACAAATTAATTTTATCATTATATTTTAGATTTACTGTAACGTGTAAAATGAAATAACGTTTTCGAAAACTGACGAGTATTGCAGTCTCTCTCTATGCACACTCATACACATACACTTAAAGTACTTACACATATACACACACACGTATTTAATTCGCCATTACACATGACATAATAAAAGGAACTCAAGTTTACCAAAAACTGTAACTTTATTGTATACAAGTGTAAAGTGTTGTAAAGTTCTTAACGAGGCACATTTAAGAATATAAATGTACATCAAATCATAAATATTATATAAAAAATGCAATACTTATACAATATAGGTACATCTAACTTTTTTCCCTTTAAATGGGAAGGACGTAAATTAATTTTTTAAAACTGTTGTTGTTTTTCCTTTGTTGTGTTTATTATGTTTCAGTTGAAACGTCTATGATTTAATTTTTAAGTTGATCAATGTCATTATTCAGTTTTTTTATATTTTTAAATGTGAAAAAATCATCAATTTATAAGAATATACTTAAAAATTGTATACTACATATGAAATCATATTTTGAGGTTTAAGATATTTGTTAAGTATTCATCATACATTTTGAATTTTTTTAAGTATTCTATGTATTCACTCAGAAATGAATTTAAAATGTTGGCGTTTTGGTTGTATTGTCCTTTCTCTACACAGCAAACACTGATGTTAAACCATGACACCAATTAACTATTTTTTTTCTAATTTTACACATATTATTCAATTTTACAAGAAAAGTCAACAAATTAAACGTTTGTGTGTAACTAACTAATACTGTATAGTATAGTATATTATACATTATATATTTATCCCTTATATTTTATATTTACCTACTCCTTTTATAATTTGAAGGTATTAATATTAGTATTAAAATTATTTAACTATGTACATTTTATTTTTCGCGAGCATTTTGGTGACTAAACTCATTCACATAATCATCATATTTAAATACGTTAATGGTATGGATATACTAAAATATAGTAGAAATTATCCGTTTCTGTCATCACCCGCTTCCACCATTTTTAAGAAAGGTTTGATTCCCGTTTCCGTCAACCTATCTATTATGCCATTATGGTAAAATTATTATACTTTTATTCTATATTTATCCAAAATAATATCTTATTATACTCAGAATTATACAATATACAAATTGACTAATATAACATTTCTTCTGAATTTAGTCTCGTATTGATGTAATTAAATTTAATATAAATATGATTATTTTTAAAGTATACTTAAGTTTTAACTTAATTTTGCATGGTTTATATAACAATGTTTAGTATTGTTTAACATAATAGATAATAATTAAAAAGTCATACTAAAACTCACTTAAACATTAAAACATAATATTTAGTAATAGTTTCTTTAAATATAACAATAATAGTTAAAAAGTCGTCCCAAAAGTCACTTATAATAATAATTAAATGCAACAAACTTAATATATATATATTTTTTTTAAATCAATTATAATTTTTCTAGTTTGTGCATTTTAATAAAGTGTATTTATTTTTTAGGATATTTGGAATATTTAAATTAGTGATATTTATTTAATGTAAGTGTCTGCCTGGTTATTTTCAATCAAAGTTTTTAAAAATATATTGATTCTTGGGTGTGATTTATAGAAATATTGGTTAAAAAATGAATGAAATGATTCATAATATTAGTAGTTAGATATAATTTTTTCGTCATGTACGTTCAAATTTCTGAAGGATATTTAACATTTTCATATATATAAGTTTCTTATAAATAATTAGTATATTGTGAATATATGTCAATATATATATATATATATATCTTATAAATTTAAATATATAAATTCAAATGAGTATTTTAACCGATTATTTTGTTTGTAAACTTCAATCACATCTAGTTCTTGAATTTTTTTATACCATGACTGAATTAAACAAAATCTACAAGTTTTAATGGTACATAAGTATGCCTAATGGCCATATTAATTTGGAAACGTTATAAATTGCTATTTAAAAGTCAATTACTATATTTTTTGGATTTATAATTAAATTAAATTTATCACATTTAGTTTTTAAAGTACTTAATAATTTGAAATATATTTTTTGTTTTTTATCGGGTATTAAACAAAACACTATTAGAATAAAGTGATTATTTATAAATCCAAGTAAGGTAAATACTTGTAAAAAAAATGTGAACAATATGAAAAGCTTCCGTAAACATACATTGTGCCAATTTATATAAAAAACCTAAATTGGTTTTTTGAAAAAAAAATATTATTATAATTTAATTTATATCATTAATTATTAAAAAGTTCCCATTTTTAGAAGTTAAGGATTTAAAAAAAAAATTATATCATATACTCTATCTATGTAAGTTGGCTTTGTTCGATAAATATATTTTCTAAGAACTATATCTCGTGTGTTTATATCATCATAAGGATATTTTTTGGATGTCGAATTAATCTTTAAGTTTTTTTTTCTTTTACACGTTGTAGACATTTTTTACCTATAGATTGTACTGCATGTATCGTTATAGTCATTTTTTACATGTAAATTGTTTATGATTATAATACGATATTGATATCATGTATTGCGTGTAAAATTTGCTGTGAAATAAATTACATAAAATACCTTTTCTTTTAATGATTTCAACTTTTTTACTGGTGTAAACACTAGTAAGACAATATTTTATGCGACATCCCCATCGGTATGCAATAAAATAATACTTACAATTATCCTGAATCAATATTTGTTTACCATTTTTAGTTTTTACTTTCTATAAATTTCATAATTTTGATTGAATGATTGAATTGTATATTAATCGATAAATTCACAAATACATTAAATGTATGCCGTACTTTGTAAATATTAAGCACTACAATATTATAAAATAATTACAGCCTACTGCCTACAGGAAAGGATTATAATGTTTTATACTATTATCATAAATATTCTATACTATGCAATTAATATATCCTGTACAAATACATGATATGTAGAAAATAGATTGTGATTGATAACAATATTATACTTTTTGGTATATTAAATGTTCATTTGTGTTTTGCAATTTCAATCTTATCGATTTATATACAAAATTTCTATGCATAAGTTATATTTAAAATATGTGTGTGTTAGGTATAAGTTTTTATACAACCTGCGGTTATGATGAAAAATAAATTCCTTTTTTTTTATTGTATTGTATATTTTTGAGTTAATAAGATATTATTTTGGAAAAATATGGAATATCAGTTTAATAATAATTTTATCATAGTAGATTGGCGAAAAAAGGAATCAAACTTTTTTCAAAATTGGTGAAAAGGATATATAGGTATATATCCTTTTCACCAATTTTGAAATATACTATACTATGTATATATACTATGTAGAATCGTGATTAAGAATTTACCGTATCGATTCTTAGAATAATAAATAATATTTTAACTGATAATTCGTATAAAGTTTAAAATGATGCGGTTGTATAATTTGTTGTTTAATAGATCTATGTAGGAAGTATAATATTAATTAGAAACTTACACCATTGAAAATTGGAAATCAATTTTGTTATGTTACATGTAAAATGGTCAGATGACTAAGATTCCGTTTTTCAGTTCATCGTTTGAACTGACTCAGGATATATAACTATATGATAAACATAAATTGAAGTGTTGAATAAACGATAAATCAATACATTTTTATAGATAATCATGGACGAATATCCAGATTATATATATTAAATTTTTGGTGCAAAATATTATGAACACTAATCTTGCTCAATTACGTCATTTTTTATTTTTTTTTACAATAAGGTACTCCTAGCTTTCGCTATCTATACCTAGAGATAAAGTATAAAGTACATTTTCGCGTATAAAGTGCGATAATTAAATTACAATTTTATATTAGATGATAACAGTAATTAGAAACTTAAGTTAGATTGTATCTTGAGGAATTAGGTCATGTGGGCGACCTCGTTTGAGACGGCGCTGTGGAGGTGGTTTGATGTTGATGTGGTAGTGCATTGAGCCTGTTGACTTGTGGATGGATTCGAAGAAGCTCACAGCCGAGAGCTTGATGTGGTCTTGAAGAGTTGACATTTTGAGGTCTTTGTGTATGCTTAAGTTCCTTACGAACCATTTTTAAACCATTGTTTGTTATTGTTCTTAAAACATTGTTTTGAAATATTTATTAACCACTATTAGAATATCTATGAATTTACTAAAATAAAATATTTTCGTAGATTGGCCAACTTTTTTTGCACGTATATAGTATAGATACCTATTAAAGTATATTAAGAATAATGATAATAATATAATATACTTTAAAAAGCCAATGAACTTACGACGACTTATGGCTAGTATTTGCAACAAACGTTACATTTACTTATTGTATTCATTATCTTTATCAAGAATTTTAAGATCATAACATTATTACCATTATCATTATTAAATGTAAACATTGTGTATTTCAATGTTTGTTGGAGGTAAATTATATAATATTTTGATTTTTTAAGAATACACAAGAAAGTTTGATCTTTGCTAATCATACGTGTTAAATAGAAAATCCCTAACGAAAATTAAATTAATAAAATTATTTTCGTTTACACAGTGGTAGTGTTGAAAGTGGTCACCACCATCACGACCAGCTGCAACCACCTTCGTCTTCGTCCGATTCGGCCGACGTAACGCGGCACAAAATCGTAGTGATGGGTGCAGCACGAGTGGGCAAGTCGTCGCTGATCACGCAGTTTCTGTATCGGAAGTTTTCATTAAAGTACAAGCGGACTGTGGAGGAAATGCACCATGGCCAGTTCACGGTGGAGGGCGTGAAAATCGACTTGGATATTCTGGATACTTCTGGCGCATACGAGTTCCCTGCAATGCGTGCCCTATCCATATCGTCGGCAGATGCCTTCGTGTTGGTCTACTCTGTTACCGACCCTGATTCGTTCCAACAGGCGGCCGCTATCAGGGACCAAATCATCGAGACCAAGCACACAGCAGATGTACCGATTGTCGTAGTTGGCAATAAGCTCGACTTAGCTAATTCCGACCGAAAGGTAAATACTACTTTTAAATAACGCACAATTTATCAATTAAATTATACTATTATACAATAATATATCTCATAGTCTTGAAATTTTTCTTGGACATATATTTCAAACATTCATCATATGTTCAAATTCAATATTTATTTTATTGAAAAAATAATAAGTAATGATATTAAAGTCCACCAAGTTACTAAAAACGTTTTAGCACTTGTAATTCTAGTTATTTTAGCTATTTTTGCCATTTTACCTATTAAAAATATCTGTAATGTTTAATAATTATTGATTTTTGACGCTACAACTTTTAAGAATGTATTTATCCTGTATCCACAATAGCGGCTATTTTAGGAGGTATTTATTTCTGGGTGATATAATTGTTTATACAAAAAAAATTTATTTAACATCAAATAATAACTTCTTTTCAATAAACAAAAATGTTCATAAAAATGATCAGTTCGTTAACTTTTTTTTTTATATGTGAATTCCGAAGTAGCTTAACATGCACCATAGGATTTTAATAACCGATGCGGAATATGCACATTAGGGACTTTCAATGTTTACAACTTTTTAAAAAAAAAAAAAAAAATGTATCATATGTCTTGTTACGAATAAAATATAGTCTTAATGCGGCACTATGCATTTATCTTTCGTAATCAGCGATGCATTTTTTGTCCGTAATTACAGCCGTTCACTCCACGCATGGATTCTAAATAAAAACCACACATAAAGGTGCATTAATAATTTACAGTATAATATTATGGGCTGGCTTACACATTTAAAATTATAGTCAATATACATGTAATGGATTTATTAATAATACATGTATATTATTTCGCTTAACCAAACTCAAATCTAATAATAGTGTTGTTATAATATTATACAAATATTACATATACATTATACGATTAGAATATTTATAAGCTCGTATTCGAACGCGTTAAGGCGCAGTTTGTTTTTGTACTCTATAAAGACGCGTCAACTACATGACGTATATACCTCTTACCTGTCTAAACTTCAATACTTTCATAATTACTTCTTTTGAATACTTAACGTAAATTAATAATTTGGCTTAAGCATATCAATTAGATCTATGCATTGGATGGCTGTTTTGAAGATATGTCTAAAAATAAATATTAAATCTGTATAACCTTGTGGAAACAAAATAGGATATATGAGTATATATACAACATACATGTTAGTGGAGTAGCAAGTGAAGTCATATTATTCAATTATATTTAACCCTAGGCCAATATTCTGTAAATATTTCCAAACTAGTTTTTAGAATTTGTATTAATTTTACTTTACTCTCTTATTTTACCTTTCAGCTAACATATTATCTGATATTTTGCTAACCATCATAAATATTTTTAAAAACTTATTTGAAAATATTTCTAAATTATTTTTAAAGTATTTGAATATTTGGAGATAATTAGACAACACGAGGGGCCCAAATTCACAGAAATTCATTATTAAGTTTTGAATATGATTATAAACTTAACCAATATTATATATTATATACCTAGTTAGTATTTTGTTCTGGATTATTCAATTTTGTCTATGTGCAATGTATACATAAATAAGATTTAACATGAATTAAGAATGCAATTTAATTTTTAAAGATTTTTTACGATATTTTACCTACGAAGAAAAACTTTATGTATAGTAATGACTGACGATTGAATCGAATAAATATACATTTATCAAACACTTGAAAATTGCTAACACGAATCAATAAATTCTTCTGAAATCTACTATCAATCAGATTCAGGCGTCTAAGTCAACTCTTGCTATCATTCAACCCACCGAACGATCTCATAGATATATGTCTAAACGATACGACACAAAACCAAAGACGATATTATATATAGTACGTTAATCATGAAACAATCCATTGTCACGCGTAGCAAAATACTTAAACAAATATCCATTAGTAAGAGGTTTAAAAATATAAATGGGATGCGACAGTGAAAAACAATTTTAAAAACACAAAATCACGATACATTTTAATACTTCTAATATTTCTACATTCGCGAATTATCTTCGTATAAAATAAAACGTTACACAGTAAATATAAACGCATAATATACAACGTATAATATTTAACTATAAACCATACACGTATTTAATATATTATGGGTATATATATATATATATATATATATATATATATAGAAGTGTGTATTTTAGAACTTGTTTTATAATTTCCATTTTTTAATGATAGTTTTTATAATACGATAACACATAACACATAATATGTCATTAATATTTGTTTAAAGCTTACTGTAGAAAAAGTTTCATAGTTCGTGACTGAGCAATTATGCTGAAAGAATCCTTTTAATTCATAATTTTTAAGGTCTATAATATTATTGTGATGGTCAATTTAAAAAAAAAAAAATTATTAAAAAAATGACTTGTATTTACCATTTAATGTTTTAGAGCTGGATAATATTAAGTAAGTAAATCGATTAAAGTATTTAATATTTGTGTTCTATATCTATACCATAAAAATAATTAAAAATTTTCTGTCAATATATTGTATTATATATTATGTTCACATAGTTTAATAGTTATATATAATTGTAACCTTGTTAATCAAAATAAAAACCATAATGTGTATTTCAATGATTTTCGACTACCTTTTTCATTCCTGATGTATTATAATGGTTATTATTACAATGAATAATACTATACTAATTAACAAAGATCTTTAATGAAAATGTAGAATCATGACCTCCATTAATTCGTTGAGGTTGACTTACTTAATTTTAATGAATAAATATATATCAAAATAATAATGATACAATTCGGTTAACTTGAGTTTTAGGAGGTTGGATAATTTTTGGTATTAAAAATATTATGTATTTCATTACCTCAAAACAGACTGTGTAGTTAGTTAGAGTTTTCGAAAAATTAAAATATATTTAGATGATTAGCATACGATAACAGAGTTAAAAGTTATATCATTTTAAGTTATAATTTATGCATCAGACACTACATAACGACACAAGTTGACTGTAATAAGATTAACAATAAAAATTTTCACGGAGAATACTCAAAATTAAAACAATTAATAATTAAATTATTTCATGCTTAAAGCGTGCAGTTATATAAGCTATGCGTCTTTAAGACGTAGCACGTTAAATATAAAGCGCTTAACAGAACATACTACAAAATTCATAATAACGTTAACTCTAAAATGTATATAAACATAATAATGTATTTAAATAGTAAAAAAAATTTGACTATTTTCCTGAACATAAATTTAAATTTTTTAAATATTTTTTGTTTGGAAAAAATGCTAATAAATCTCTTTTATTATTTCATTTTTTTTTTTTTTTTTTTATAAGAAAAAGTATCTAGTTTATTTTCAATTAGAACATTTTACAGTAATATATATATAATATAGCATATCTTAGAGCAAGAGCAAACATATTATTGTTTTTAAAATAATATTTTGTTGTTTTATTTTAGATAGAAAACACGTTGAAAATGTTTAAAAGTTGTGCTCATCCTTCTTTTTATTGATTTAAAATATTTAATATCCATTATCCAATGTGTTATTCTAGCATAAAATAATTTCAAATTTAATTACAATTTTTTGAATATTATTCAAAAAACACGTCTCGTCTCTATAACATATGCATTTGATACACGATACTCAAATATTCATAAATACCTATAGACTATTACTAAACAAGGTACTTATCAAAAGCATATTTTAATATGATATTGTGTTGGTTTTATAGATTCTACTTCACAGTGATAAACTTGACATTTGTAAAAGTTATTGATAATAAAATACATATGGTAAAATATGAAACTAATAAAACTATTTTTTTACCATTTATAGAGTTTATAAAAAAAAATCAACGATAAAACATTTTTTGAATTATATAGAACAATTCATAAGATAATCTTTGAAGTGGCTTTAATTGATTGAGTAAACTGAGATATAAAATTGATGGACAAATAACAGTTGTAATATTGTGCAGCATTAAACCCATTTAAGATCACGATAACGAAAAGAATTCTGCCTACAAGATTTATTATCTACTGCCCCCCGCCCATTTTTAAGCTATCTACAGATAAATTAATTGGACTAATCTGTCTTGTGACTCGAACCACTCATTTAAGACAATTGTCTTTCTAGTTTCGTTTAAAAGTGACCACCAAAAATAATGAAAGAAGGGAATCGGTATTAAAAAAAATAAATATTTAAGGCAATGTTTGTTTAGTGTTAACTTCTGTCAATATATGTTGTTTAACTCAAATTTGTCTATACGTCCTATTTAAATTAAGACTATTAAATCCTATTTAGTATTCATAAATAATCTATAGAATTATAAATTCTCAATATTAATTACGTAACAGTTTTACTAAAAATTAAAAATTCTATGGATTTTAAATGGTTAATATACTTAATATTTATGCCCAGTTGCATAAAAAAATGATTAATTTCATGATTCTTTAGAATTTAACCATAGATCCCTTGATTATTTTTAAGGAATCATTAGATCACTATTAGTTTGTGTTAAATGTTTAGTGATTGTCTATGGCTTAATATAACTAATATATTAATTCAACATTAATGTAAATTAGAAATAAATATGATTGATAAATTAATGAAATAGTTTTTAAAACATTTTTACAAAAAGATAAATAGTAAAAATAGTATTTATGTGACAACGAATAAACGAATAAACATAATGATATTTAAATCAACTCAAGCATAAATAATTCTTAATTTTTGCATGATAAAAAATGTTTAAGGTACAATAAGTTTTATGACACATCTCTAAACTAAACAGCTAATTAATTTAAGCGAATATAATAGTTAAAAATATTTTATACATTTTTAATGATCATTAATATATTTAAAGATTATCTTTTGTAAAATTCAATATGCATAATGTAAACATGATTAATTAAATTAATAGATACGAAAAGAGGGAAATTTCAGTCTTAATAATAACTAATAAATTATACCTTGAATAAATTACATTTTGAATAGT